ATGTCCAAAATGATTAATAATTGGTCCAAAATAATTTAGAAACTGTCTAAAATGACCCAAAGTTTGTCAAAAATGACTCCAGGCTTGTCCAAAATGAATCAAAATTTGTCTAAAATAATTTAAAGTTTGTCCTAAAGGATTTTTAAAAAAATACACAAAACGACAAGAAAAATCGTCTACAATGATTGAAAACTTGTCCAAAATGACCCAAAGTTTGTCTATTACCAAATGATCATCCAAAATGACTAAAACTTTGTCCAAAATGATCTAAAAACTGTCCAAAATCTGTTCAAAATGACTGAAAATTACCTAAAGTTTGTCCAAAATGATTCAAAATGTGTCTGCAATCATTCAAAAACTGTCTAAATTATTAGAAGTGTGTCCTTAAAGACTAAAGGATTCGAAAACTGATTTAAAACATGACTAAAATGAGTCAAGCTGCTCTGCTCAGTAAAAGCTAGTATCTGTTCCAGGCGGCTAATTTCTGTTTAAATTCAGTCAGAGTGAAAACAAATGTTTATAAAATGATTCATATGAAAATCTGCTCTCTATGAAGAGAAGCCAAACTGTGTTTCCTTAAATCTCCACAACGGAGATGAAGAATACAAAGTGATCAGGAAGCTTCCAGGCTCAGTAATAAGAAATAGATCAGGAAGAAAGACACCAGACTTCTTCAAGGTCAACTGAACGTCAGGTCTGTGGTTGTAGCAAGAGCTGCAACGATTCATCGACTGTTTGGCAACGTATAAGTTAGTCTCCAACTATTTTGAGAATTAGTTAATATCATGAAAAGTGGAAAATCTCTGACTGCAGCTTCTTCATTGTGAGTATTTTCATATTTTACATGATGTCAATTAGTTTGGAGCCGACTTCGAGTAAATGTTCAGTAAAAGGTAAATAAGTTGTTGCTATCTTGTCTGTTTGGTCATTTTACATCTTTATGGTGGTTTCTGGTCCATTTTGACTCGTTTTGTGTCACACTTAGGACATTTTCATCATTTTGCATCTTGTTTTTGCTGTTTTGTTTCTGTTCATTTTGCTTGGGCTTTACTTTCTGGCCGTTGATTTGAACAAATTACAGAGACACTGACGACTTCTTTGACGGTTAATTTGGAGTAAACATTACACAAGTTTTTGCCATTTAGTCTATTTGTAGTCATTTTACATCTTTATGGTGGTATTTCGTCCATTTGGGTTGTTTTGTGCCACATTTGTTGTTTCACCCCATTTTTGTGTTTTGTTTTTTTTTGTCTCTTTTTGTGTCTCTTCGTGGTTGTTTTTGTCCCAGTTTCACCGTTTTGTGTCACATCTTGATAGTTTTGCATCTTTGGAAAAAGTCTTGTGTTATTTTGTTTGCACTCAACTTTGACCCTGAGTAGGATTAAATAAGTTGTTGCTATTTTGTCTGTTTTACAACTTTATGGTGGTTTTTGGACCATTTGGGTGATTTTGTGTCAGATTTGAGTTATTTTGCATCGTTTTTCCATCTCTGTGTGATTATTTGTGGGTTCCATGTTGGTCATTTTCAGTCTCCTGTTCCTCATGTTGTGTCCCTGCAGGGTTTTGCGTGTCTTCATGGTCGTTTTTGTCACAATTTCGTGTGACATCTGGATAGTTTTAGTGTGATGAGAGCACATCAACCAGGAGACTAAAGGCTCTACAAACAACTAATCAAGAAATAATGAAAACAACTAAGTCTCAGTAGAACCTCTCACACAAATACACTTTTAAAAAACGACCAAAATCTGCTGTTAATCTCCTTC